CATAAAATAGTTCATTGTAACACGCATGCATAATAACTCATCTAACATTTTTTTAATTCGTATAAGTACTGCAACTAACCATCCACGTATTGTGCTCAATCGCGTTTACAGCTAGCGGGCCGCTATTGGTGTCTGAAGAGGAGACTGTGAACGAAGGAGATTATGCACGTTTGCGGTGCTATTCACCCGGAGTTGACGATTCGGAATTGCACTGGCGTCGTGAGGATGGTCGTGAGATGTCCGAGGGAACTACCGATGAACACGGTATTCTGACCATCGCACAGGCGAGCCCATCCGATGCTGGGGTTTACTTGTGCTCAATGAGAGATCCGTCAGGATACGAAGTTGACTCACTGCCGGCACGTATCACTGTTAACAGCGTTGCCCGTACGTCCTCTCATCCTTAACATCACACAATCATTATTTTGTTTATCATTTTATTTGCATTCATTCCGTTCAGTTTTTGTTGGGCTTGCCTCATCTAATGAATGTACTGAATGTTCGTGCTGCAAAAATATTAACGCTGAAACTGCGTTCAGTTTTAACAAGCATCTCATTTAGTTCATTTTTGACTGCACGAGTAAACTTGCTGAAATTTCATTTTATCTAGCAGATGATCAAATTACTGCGTTCTAGTTCACGAATTATCATTGAGCAGCAGTTGAATATACCCCAAACTTTTCCACCACCTCAGTTTATGCGCACACTTGGACTATTCATGAAGCACTATCACTTCTTAATGATGATCCGCGATCATCTGCACACTCTCTAAGGGAATTGATCCAACTGATTCTTGCGTCTGATATCACATCCATGGCAATTCATAGCAATCACAGTATCCATCTGACACCCATTGAAGTCTCATGATTTGCTCGATCATTATTTATAAGCGCTTAATTGCACCATTCCAGTTGGACTTGTCTGTTTTTACAGATATCGTTGACATGATAACAATGAAATTTTGAAAGCTTACATTGCATCCCGGAACGGTTATGTTTGAAAAGGTTGCTGTATACGTCTAGTTGGCTTTTTATAGCTGATGCGCCTATTGTTGAACCGTCGTCGGTGAGCGTCATTGTCGAGCATCCAGTTCGAATACGTTGCTATGTTCGCACGAATCCACGAGCTGAACTGCACTGGCGAAAGCAAGGCTCAGACGAGGATGTGACCGGACCCGGAATCACGCAGATGCAAGGATACTTATCGATCACAAAATCGCAATTCTCTGATTCCGGTGTTTATGTGTGCGCGGCCAAGAGCTCGCCACACGGTTCTGCTGTCGAGTCACCACCTGTTCAGCTTACAGTTAACCCTATCGCACGTACGTTTCGTTCATTTTACTCACACAAAGACGAGTATTCGTGTGTGCGAGTGTGTGTTTGTAAACGTACAATTTTGTGGACTCATACTTCATGTTCTAAAACATATGTATGAGTATATGCTTGAATTGATTCCAATTTGAAACATTTGAAAATTATTGACGACTTTCAGCTAGTTTTGGTTCTTGTTGAAGAGAACGGCGATTCGGTAATGATGAGCTGAAATTTTGTGTATCTTACTAATCAATTTTTGCTATTGATCATTGCAAAATCAACTTTTTTATCAGTGTATCGTAATATTCCTCATGATGCCATCGCATACTAAAAAATACGTTCGTTGTGTCCAAAACAAACCTGCAATGTGTTTTTAATGCTCAAGCTTTGAACACTACTCACTCATACACTACCAAATAATATCTGTCGGTGAATGGGTCGTAATCGGATAACGTTTATCTTAAAGGATATTCTCATTTGAGCTTCTTGGGAGCAAGTTGAGGTGGCTGATCCGTGTGAGATAATAAAAAACCAGAGTGATACAACAATGAAATCGATCACTTAATTTTTGATCGGTTCGATGAAAATTCCAATCAACCACCAGTTATATTGCTTGTCTCTACAGCCAGGGAACCAGTCGTGAATCCACCACAACAAACAATCGACGAGGGTTCCTCGGCCAGATTCCAGTGTTACGTGCCCGGTGATCCAAGCGCCCAAATCAGTTGGCATCGCCAAGATGGTGCCCCGTTGGGCGCAGACGTGAGCGAATCGAACGGAATGCTAACCATCACAAATGCACAAGCCTCAGATGCTGGTGCTTATGTGTGTCACGCACAGCAAGCACATACCACTCAGCCAGCACTCTCATCACCCGTTTACTTGAATGTTAATCCGCAACAATGTACGTTTCGCGCTTATCTCATGCAATCTTTCAACATTTCATC